CTCTTTTACTCCGACGAAGGACTAGCGTCCGAAACGTCAGTAAGTTTTTTCATCTTTTCACGGTGTATAATTTACCTTTTCATCATTACTGTTTACCATAAAACGTAGGATAAACATAAAGACATTAAAAATGGGCTAAAATATATTGTCTAAAAAGTTAAAAACTGAACCATTAAAAAAGGTTAAAAACTGCGCTTCTTCTGTCGTCACGTGACTATATGTCAGTCACACCTTAAATTAACAATCATTATAAACCATTCAACTGCTTGTCTTCTGTCTTCATTGGCTAACTTGAATCGACCTGACACAATTTTATTTATTATTTTATTTATGTTGTTTTTTCGTTTTGTTTTTGTTTTTTTTAGATCTATTAAAATCGATTTTTTACTGATAACGACACACAGCATGTTACGAAATTGACGACATGCCACAACTCTGTGTCGACACTCGGTCACTGCTCGTCCAATCAATATGCTCATACACGACACGGCACAGTGACGCCTACACCGTACCATCCATTTTTCCTGCACAGTGATGCAAAAACTAATCTCAGGGGATTATTTATTCAGTCTATCACAAACCAATATTGATAACTTGTTGGAATGTCTCTACAACAGGTCCGAAAGCAACGCCTCGAGAAAGCTATAGAAGCGACGGAAACTACCCGACTGACAGACACAGATATAGAGGAGGTAACCAAGACAACAGACGCGAAGAAAGTAGCTCTACCAACAAATACCAAAGATTTTAGAAGGCCACAAAAACGTAGGAAAGCRTCAAAGTCTAGACACTGAAAAAAAAAAACAGTTTTCATTCAGGATTTATACCTGAATACCTTAAACAAGCATTGTAGTCGTTCAATAGATGGTTTTCAACCATTCCCAAGAGAATTAAATAACAAAAGACACGGCGGCCATGTTGGAGGATATAACAAAAGAATTCATTAACAATTCTTTTGTTAAGTTCCTCCAACATGGCCGCCGTGAAAACCATCAATAGAGACTGTTCTTTTTGGTTTCCACCCACTTCCCTTTCCTTCCCCCAGGAAAAAAACTGATTGGCTCTCAGTATTAGCTCTTATAGCAATGAGAGCCAACCAGAAGAAGAACGTGTTGCAAATATTCCCTCTTCCAATGTCAGTCGCTCGAACCAAAAAGACAGGTGTGAGTGACGTATCGTGATATACCACTTAGTATAGCGCTGTAATTAGATAAATGAGTATCTTCCTACATTTAAGTGACTTTCAAGTGGAACCCATTTGATTGCATGGGCTTTTTATTTCACGAAATACTGACTGATTCGAACATTCTTTTCTTTGCAAATATTGCATGCAAGCTCTGTAATTAGATAATGAGCATCATTATCCTTGCATTTTAGTGGCTTCCACGGGATGGAAGGCCATTTAAGTGCTTGGGTTTCTTACTTCACAGAAGAGTAATCCTTCGACCATTCTTTCACTAACAAATATTGCATGCCAAAACTAGTTATTACTGTGTGAAAATGGCGTGATATACGCAAAGATAAATTTTAGTCATGTCAGTAGGGTACGTGTGACAGACACATATATTAATAATACGTAGTCTTAGTCTGGAAGTTTTCTAAAGTTTGTACAGTTAACGAACTCCAATAGTTATGAACATCGCTTCCACCTATTAGCAATTCCGAACTTCATGGAAAAACGGGGTCAAGTTGGCATTGCAGTGCATTTTTAGGGTACGACGCCATCTTGGAACCGACGTCCAGTAAAACAGCCCCATCATGCACTGCAATGTCAACTCGATCCAGACTTTTCCTCAACCTCGTAATGGCTAATTATAGGGTGGGCTGAAATATTTTCAACAGATTTGGTACGAATATTATATATTGACAATACAGTATATCAGTATATCCTAACGTAATACAGTATATGCTATTTGCTTAGTTAATGTTGCAAATTCGTACCTTAACTGTACAAAATTCATTAAGTACCTCGAGTAACGAGGAATAGATCCCTCGCAGCACTTCAGAATTCAGCTCAGTTTGTAGGGCAAAACAATAGGTTTATAGTACTCAGAAGATTGAAATTCTGGCCGAAATTCTTTTGTTTTGTCCTAGATCCAAAGAGTCCACTTACAGCACGTCGGAATGTAGCTCAATTACGAGGACAGAACAATAGGTTTCCAATTCTCAGGACATTAAAATTCTTTCGTTTTGTCCTTCAAATTGAACTGCTTTGGCGTCACATGCAATGGGTCTATTAAGGTGCAACATGGTTTAATATATTAGTTTTTTTAGGCAAAGCACGTTTTTATTGTGGGTGGATAGAGTCGGGCTGGAGACATCCGTGGCCTTCCCCCTGACTCTAGTAGATATTAGACCTCTTTACCTTGGGTGTAATATTCCCATCAYAGACCACGTGTCATTCCCTCGAGTATCATTTCTTTGTTTTAAGGTTGTGCGTCAAAAGACACATGAATCATATGATGATACAACTCAAAAAATAATCTTATTTTCTAGAGAACGAAACGTTAAACATTACGCCAAAGGTAAAGATGTCTATTCCATGACCTGCAAAAAATATATATAACTTTTAAATAGTAGGAGAAAAATATATAACGTATCTTTTCTAGATTTCAAATTATTAAGAAAGTATAGCCATGAAATAGGGTCTCTTCTTGGTGCTGCAGATCTACGATTTTACTTCGTATTTCAGATCATTTTGTTTTGGCTGTTTTTACTTCCCGTCTGCTCTACAGCACAAAGAATGAGCCGTATAAGATCTAGAAGTTTTGATTGACTAGATAAAAATGATTATAAATGTACAATATATATATTTGCATACAACAGACTATATAGGCCATGTGGGATGGGCTCTTTAGTACATATGAGCATGCGCCGGCACTTATAAGCATGTGTAATCCTAGTTAATCTCCCATAATCGTTTGTGAGTTAGGCGGACAGGTGTTCTGGTCTAGCTTGGGTGAAAACGACACCGTATAATGGTTGAAGAAAAATACTTGTACCCAAGCTAGAGCAGAATTCACCAGGTTTGTCAGTCACTTGACAAAATTTTTAAGGCAACGGATAGATATGTGCACGCACATATATCTGTAGAATAGTGGTAAAGTCTTGTAATAAATATAAACAAGAAAAAATGGAATGAATTTGTATCACTTTTTGACTGAGTAACAACCCCATGACGCAAGGGATTGTGGGGGTGCGTGAGATCAAAAATCTCCGCCAACTCGCCTCATCTAATTCCTTCCCACAATCCTTTGCACCACAAGGCATTCCCACAATGCAATGCCAACTTGACCCATTTTCTTTCTCAACCTCGGAATGGATAATTAGAAACTGGAGTCGAAAATCACTGGTCGCAATCACACATCTACAAAGTCTCAATGCCTCTTGTTGTTTTGCCATTCAGCATAGCCAGGGGTTGGACACGGCGCCAGTTTAGCTGTCAGAACGCAAGCATGCGAAACCTCTATGTCACAAGCGTTCCTCGGGGAATAGGATAAGAGAAGTGGGCCCTAATTCGAAAATACAAGTTCCTTTATGTATCGTGTGTTTCATAACCGCATTTTGTCGTCCGAAGTTACTGAAGGACAAGCCATGCGATGGTACATGATGGTAAGTATGTGATGTAATTTAGTAGCAATGGAAAAATAATTGATATACCTTTTTCAAAAAAGGTTATCGTAGCCAAAGGCGATAATCAATAGCTCATTCCAAGATCCAAGGATAACTGGCTTGACTTGCTGTAACTTATTATCATCAGCCCGTGTTAAGATATATTTCAAGTGTTGTTTGTAGTCGACAAACCATTTCAGAGGCCTCGATTATTCCTGTTTAGTTGTGTAGGAATAATTCTTTCCCGTCCGTCTTGGAATGACCTTTCGTCTATCCTCTATGCTCCAACGACCCTTTTTGAAATAGGTATATATAATATAACTGAGAAAAAATAGAGAAATATATTACTTAGCCTAATAGTTTACAAACCTTCACAGAACTGAAATGTATCTTATATTTATAATTTATTAATCTATTCATTGCGCTTATTAACAATTTGACGCGCAAATCTTCACATTAAAAATTCGAAAAATATAATTTATTTCTTCAATATCACCGAGGCCTTTCTCTCTCCCATGCTAAAACAAACATTGCTTCTGAGTCTATTCCTCTTTTCTACCCCTCCCCTCAAGGTAACAGGTTTGAGTGCAAAATTCACATCCCTTGTTCCAATAAAGAATAGGTCGTTGACGATCATTCCTCCCTAGAGAATAGAACAATAAAAAGAAAGACATAGCAGCCTTCTATTTTGCTTGAGACTTTGAGACCAAAACAAAAAACAACTAATCGTTGCATGGCGTGCATCGCTTCCCATGAGAATAAAAGTACGAAAGATGTGGTCGTCATGTGGCACTGCTTGACATGACAAAAGACACCAAGTCAAAGTCAACCAAAATGGTGGATGTGATGTGACATGCGCCTCAATAAATATGGCGGGTATATGATGCTATCAGCACTTGGCATTTTTACCAGCTGACCTGCAAGCTTCCGAAAATCACATAAATTCACCTGATTGATTCAGAAAATGTAAAGATTGTTCGTGACATTCATGATCAAAGCGAGGCGCTTGACGAAGGAAAATGATTTCTGTGTACAGCTGACGCTGGATAGAGCATATTTACTACTAGATACTATCTAGCCATGACATATCTATGAAGGGATCAAGCAGTGAGAACTGAGATGACTCTTATCTCATGTGACCTGAAAGGACTGACGTAACGGTGAGCTTTAATATCAAACCATTATGTATCGTACGTATAAAATTTTGACTGTTTGTCAGTGATTTTGGTGTAATCTTCAAAGCGACGTACAACTCAAGTTGACTGTATAAGAAAATTAAATATTGCAATATCAATTAAACTAGGGAAGCAACCAAAGATTTAAGGGCCTTACGATATGATGACGTCATTTAATACCAATTTAGATGCTTGGACGTGGGGTCCTGGAGTGAATGGAATTCATTGCAAGTGTCTTAGGAAAGGACAGGGAAAACTTGTCTATGTGAATTCTTAGGTACGTCCCTTTTGTACGTCGCTTTTGTACATTTGCCTATCGCCTTCCGTTTGGTGGACGTGAATCGGTTCGACAAATAAATGAACGATGAATTTTCTTAAAACAAACAGCTGTGTTGACGTTGCCTTTACACAAGAGATCACGTGGTGTGTGCTTGTTCTTGACAGGTGTCGTTGTGTCAATAGATTCTGGCGCGAAATCATACATTAGGTCCGAATAAATCCATTCTTTCAAAAGTGTGGCCAATGGTAACTTATCTCTTTGGCACCAAACTGAAACAACCAAAAAATACCATTTACCGTTTCTAGGAAGACAGGATTTGGAATCTATTTTTTTCTGGATTTGAAGACGAAAATTACGGACGAGGAACTGAAACAACCGTAGAAAGATAGTAGAGAGATTTTGAGCTTTTACACCACGAAAAGAAAACCATACCGATGTTTCCTCTTTAAACTCGTATATGAACATTTTCAATCCAGGGAAAGTCGGTTGAACACCTTGGGAGTCGGTTTCATTGAATGTAAACATGTCCGCTTTCTTTGCATTCTTTGCTTTTCTTGTCGTGTATCATGCAACACAAAGTCAGGAAACAGCCGATTTCTACGTTTATCATTCGTTTAAAGCTCTCGATTCTTCGCCTATTATAAAGGTTTTGAAAGTCCAAGGACAGTTGAATTGTGCTTTTTCTTGTTCACGTTTACCTAACTGTCGTTCTTTTAACTTCGCACACAAGAAGGACTTGAATGGAAAACATTTATGTCAACTGTTGCCAAACGAAAAGCAGGAGAGTAAAACGTTAAAAATAAGCGACGTTTTTCACTACTACGAAAAGTCAAACCCAGTAAGTTAACATTATTTTAACTCCTGGATTACAAGATTTTTTWATAGTTAATTTTGTATGACATCTTTATTTCAATTTTTTTAAATAATTTATATAAAAATAGTAATATATTTTCTTTTGACTATAGAAAGTTTTCGCTATTTTTGAAACTCCAGCAACCTTTACAAAGTAAAACATAGTTCTTTGAATTATACGTAACTTAAACTGATTGGCAACACATCTGTGTAAATAAATGATTCAATTTTTATTCCAGTCATTGAGAATTTTTTTTTTTTTTTTCAGGATATTTTTATACTTTCATCAGTTTATAAATGCCAATATGAAAAAAAAAAACACAATTACTTGTTGCCCCTTCATAAGTTTGCAAAAATATTTAATCCTCTAAATAACATTGAGCCATAATATAAGTGAACCATTTTCAAAAGATTTCACGACAAACGCCCTTTACATGTGTAACAATTTCTGGCTTTTTCAATAATTATTCTTCCTTCAAAATTAAAGTTATAATAATCAGAATTATTTTCTTGAAATCTGTCGTCAAACGAGAATTACAAAATTAGGACCAGCTCACATATGGGACAATGTCTATTTGCTCAACTATTCAAATTGAGCCATCATTACGTCGTACTGCTGTTCGCAACACAGAAAACATTTACACCTTCAAAACGGCTGTGTATCGAACCGAACCGAATTTTAAAACGTTTTAAAAATATTTTTGGTATAAACTAGACTTATTTTGAATCATATTAGTTCTTAATTTCATATTGGCTAGATATTTGTTTTCCCCCTCTTCAACTTGACAAAAAATATTTTTCTTCCTATTTATTTTTGCTCTCAACTAATGTCAATTTTAAAATAAGTACAAAATGATTTTAATTAGTAGCTTTCTTTAGTAGGTTAAGGAATATTTTCATTCGTTTTTTTCCCAGGACCCTTGTAATAGCCATCCGTGCCAAAATGGCGGGAAATGTGACGTCATTGCAGGACTACGTAACTTTACTTGCACATGTACACCAAAGTTTAAAGGAAGATTCTGCGAATTAGGTTTGTTACGGTTTGTTTAGAATTACAGAATTTCATTTTCCATTTATTGTGATACGTGACTTTTTCACCGCCGTACAAAAAAATGTGGTTGACTTAATACTTTAGTGCATAAGGAAAGAGGGTTAAATTATAAAGAATAGAAAACGGCATCTGCACTGCAGATATCTGGCAGATACTGACTAGCCATTACGAGGTTGACGAAAAACTGGGCCGAGGTGGCATTCCAGTGCATTGTGGGACTGTCTTAGGGGACAAAATAGACGCCATATTGGAAATATGTCACATAAAACTAGAAATGGCTATTAATGAGCCCAAGCTAATTTCCCTAACCAACACTCATATTAGCCTGCCGATGTTGAGGGGAAAACTGGGACGAGTAGGTATTCCAGTAGTGCATTGTGGGACTGTCTTAGGGGACAAAATAGACGCCATATTGGAAATATGTCACCTAAAACTAGAAATGGCTATTAATGAGCCCAAGCTAATTCCTTAACTAACACTCACATTAACCTGCCGATGTTGAGGGGGAAACTGGGTCGAGTTGGTATTCCAGTGCATTACTGGACTGTCTTAGGGAATTTCGTTGACTCAATATTATAACCAATCAGATTTTTTAATCTTTCGTATATTCAAAACAGATAACTGGACCAAGATCAATCCGAATCCCATATGTTTTGGAGCCCGAGATAGCACTTGCGGAACATTTTCCGTCCAGCGGACTGGCGTATGTATCCAAATCAAGCTGGTCTATCGATCCGGTTACGTGACATGCGATACGAGTGATYCAAAAGGAAAGGGCTACTGGGGATGCGTTTTAAATGGCCGTCACGAATTCCTGTCCGTGGTTATCACCGATATTAATAACATAGTACTTCTACCAGGTTCAGGTTCATTCCTCCTTCCAGGCACGCACGTGTATGACCTGCATGGTATGACTGCGACATCCAAAGAGTTGGTTTATCCAGAATTACCTGGCTTGTTTCCCGTCACGTCTGGCAAGGTCTACCGTATTTGGTTTGGTCAAGACTTAGATGATYTTTCAGAGTCAGACAACGGTGGGTCAGTCTGTTCTGACGTGTACTGTATTTATCAATGATGAACAAGTGGTCACATTATCGTTATCATCCGCCATGTTTTATGAGCCTGTTTTTGTTCTAGATCAAGGCACTAGCACTTTTTTTCTTTTTACACGATGGTGCCATTTTACTACCACTACCAAAATGCTCCACAAATTTTCTTTCTTATTCAAATTTGCAATTCCTTATGAGAATAGGAAGACAATTGGTGCTAATTAACTGTAAGCAAAAGAAGGTATTTGTAGCTAATGACGTAAATGTCATGGACCTTTTAGTGAAAAAAGATGTTTTTTTCTCAAAATATAAAAACAAAAAAAATAGCCTTTTAAAAGCTTCTAAAATAGGATATTTGTATTATAGCGTCATTTACTACCACTACCAGGATCCCTTGCACACTTTCTTCTGTTCAGTTAATCAGCACCAATATTGACTTACTATTCTCATGAGGGAATACAAATTTGACTAAGTAAGAAAATTCGCAAAGCATTTTGGTAGAGGTAGTAAAATAACGCCATCATGCAAACGCCCTATTGTCTTTTATTGCGTTTTGGCATTTCGTTAGGTCCATCTGTCAGACAAGTTTGGAATTCAAATTTGCGTATCTTTGCAATAACACAAAGACGTTTTGGACAAATTTGTATAGCGGAGACTTGGAGCATGCGCAGACTTTGTTCACATGTGTCAATCGAGGGTTATATGTTCTTTAAGGGTTGAGGGGGAAATTACRTTTTTCGTCGCAGGGGAATGGGGACACCAATTGATTTGGCTACCACATATAGTCCCCTTGCAGCACATCGGAATGCAGCATCAATCTCGAATGCAAAACGATAGGTTTCCAATTCTCAGGAGATTGAAATTCTTTTGTTTTGTCCCCCAAATTAAGATCAGTTGGTTGACGTCACATGCAGGAGGTCTATACACTGCTTTCCTACGACCTTTCGATTCACTGATTTGATTCATTGTATTTATGCAAAGTGGCCCATTAAAGTTGAATTAAAAATAGCCAAATAGAAATGTTTTGTGGGTGGAAAGAAACTAGTGAATAGATGAAAGCTTTTTGGAAGAGGAATCAAATATCTTAATCGTTAGGTTAATAAATTTGTGTTAAATAGCTGTGTGTGCGTTATATTTGTAAGTAAAGCGGACTTAACGTGTTATAGTAAATATTTAGCCATCTAAATTAAAGCAAAACCCTGTATTTGTTTTAGCTTTGTTTCTTATTCATGCAAGTCGAAGTTAAACAACTGTTATGGGAGTAAGGTGGGGAAATAATACTTTCCCTCCGTACTGAAGTTGTCAGTTAAAAAAAAGCACTTGAAATTGTCCACCATCTTGAATTTAACCACAGGGATCCCGCGCGAACGTCAATATAAGTTTGATAGTTCCTTGTACTCGTCTCGCGATTTTTATTTGAGTGCGTATTTGTTCTCTTTTAATTTCTAATTCTTTTCGACTGGTGTGAGTGCTGACGAAAAAGAAGAGTTCGTAGTCGTAAAAATGACAGTAGAAGTGACTTCTGACTAGCAAGCAGCTTGTATTAGCCACTCCGAGGTTGAGAAAAAAACTGGGTCGAGTTTACATTGCAGTGCATTGTGGGACCGTATTAGGGGACATATTTCCAAGATGGCGGCTATTTGCTCCCCTTAAATTAAACAGCCCTAAAACGCACTGCAATGCCAACTCGACCAAATTTTTTCCTAAACCTCGGAATGGCTAATAAGGGCCGACTCAGCCAGAGCAGAGGTAAAAACTCTGGCCAGAAGTTTCATTACGACACAAAACCACTTGTAGAAGGTCAAACAACCAGATGAAACTAGTTATACCACATATAACGCAAAACTTGAAGGAATTAGTTCAAAAGTCAAAG